GGTGTTATTCAGTTTCCATGTATTTGACTTGATTTCCTTTGTCTTCCTATTGTTGATTTCTAATTTGATAGCATTGTGGTCTGAGAAGATGCTTTGTGGTATTTTGCTATTTGTAAATTTATGGAGGTTTGTTTTGTGGTCTAAGACATGGTCTGTTCTGGAGAATGTGCACTGGAAAAGAATATATATTGTGCTGTTGTTGGATTGAGTGCTCTGTACACACCTATGAGGTCCAGTTGGCTGATTGTGTTGCTTAGTTATTCTATGTCTTTGTCAAGTATCTTTCTATTTTCTATCCATTTTTGAAAGCAGTGTATTAAAATCCCCACTATTATTGTAGATTTGTCTAATTCTTTCTTCAAATCTATTTAAGTTTGCTTTATATATTTTGGAGCTCTTTCATTGGGAGCATAGGTATTTATTATGGTTATGTCACCTCGTTCAGTTGTCCCTTTAATCATGTGATAATGTCCATCTTTATCTAATATGCTGGTTTTTGCCTTAAAGTTTATTTTATCAGAGATTAGTACTGCCACTCCTATTCATTTTATATAGTAATTAGCTTGGTACATTTTTTTCAACCTTTGACTTTTAATCTGCTTTTTTCTCTGTGTGTACAATGTGTGTCTTGCAGACAGCATATTGAAGAATCTTGTTTTCTTATCCATTCTGCCACTTTCCTTCTCTTAACTGGTGCATTTAATTCATTTACATTCTGCCAAGGACCAGCCCTGACAAACTTATTAGGGGGCTCACGAAGGGAGATGTGGAGTCGATGAAAGAAATCACACGAAGTCGATAGTTTGTTCTCAACTCAGGAAGATGATGATTTTACTCAATTATCTAGCTCCTTATATACCGTTACAATACCCCATGATCTCATAATAATCAATTACATCTTCTCTTGATTTATGAGCATTCAAGTTACATCAAGGCACATCAAAATACCTCAAAGAACATCCAAATATTTTCCCTGATCATTTCATATCCAGTTTCCTTGTACTCCTTAGCTATCCTGATAAGATCTGTTTTCCCATAAGTGACTTTGTTCTTCTCCAATCTTCCCTAAAATGTCAGGTTAACCTTAAAAATAATTCTAA